AGCACAATATTTCTCTACTGCAGGACAAAATTAATCCCTGAACCAACTCTGAAAGACTGACATTTTGTCACCCAAACCTTCTTGTTACACTTCCAAATGACTGGCAGACTGCTTTTAATATACCCCTTGAGAGCCTGGGGTTTTCTGAGTGGTATACAAGCAGTCATTTCAATTTAAAGTCCCCTACAGCATTACCACCCAGCAATAAAGTAAGTCGATCCTTGGACACCTTGAAACCTGGTATCGACTTCTCCTCCTGGGACATGTAGGTCCTAGAAGGCATCCTCTTCCAAAAGAGGCCTGTCTCATCAGCGTTGAAGACTTGTTGAGGCATATAACCCCCCTTCTCTATACTTTCCACAAGCTTATTTCTATAGCTGGAAGCTGCTTGGATGTCAGCACTAGCAGCCTCCCCCTGAATAGAAACATTATGCAAGCTGCTGCACCTCTTAAATCTTTCAAACCACACCTTACTTGCATAAAAAGTCTCAGAAGCAGACCCCTCAGGCAATTTTTTCTGTAAATCATCATACAGACTCTTAGCCTTCTTCTGAATAAGCATCATACTCAAGGGCATATGGCGCTCGGTTGTATCCTCAATCCACACACTTAACACCCTCTCCATTTCTAACATAATTTGAGCCTTACTCCTACTGAGTTTCAAAGCATTGAAAGGAGTTACAATTCTACCACATTCTTTTATTTTGTCTTTATTCTTCAATATGATCCTGACAGTTGACCCAGCCAAATGCAACACACTATACAGACCTCATTCTGGCATTCCTCCGCTTCAGTTCGCTTCAGGACACCCAATTTAAGCTCCAGTGTTACGCTTTTTCACTTTTTTCTCAGCACTTGCATTCTCAGAGTCAGTTGCACATTTCTGACTCATGGTGCAACTCAAAAAATGAAGCAAGATGGTGACACAAGTACAAAAGAGCACAGAAGAGCAGAGAGCACAAAAGTTTTTGACAAAATAAGATGGCAACGAGCCTGTGTGCTGCTGATGCTCCCTGCCCAATACCCATTAGTGTTATAGCAAAACCTGTGAGCACTAAGTGAAAATGGGTATCAAAGTGAAATGAGCGCTATAGAGAAATAGCGCTAAGCAAAACAGTGTCAAGCAGGGGTTGCTTGTACTGTACTTTGCCTGCTTCATTTTAACAGCAGTAGTGAACTGTTCCTTATCCGTGACATTTCTGGATATACAGGAAACATCCCAACACACCAATGTGTGTATGCATGTACTTTCTACTTACTTTATTTGGCATCTCTTTTCTCATGGGTATATAGTTTGACATAAACCAGATAGATCCACCATGTTTCTCCAAAAACACTGCATTCAATAGCAAGCCCCATAATAAAGTTGCCATGAGATCATGGCAGTGATAATGGAATAGCACATTTTCTGTGAAAAGATTACGTTTTATGATGGACTCATATATCAGTGTTAGGGAAGTCTCTTACTTTTTTTCCCCCAAAATGTCTTTTTCTTGGTCCATCACAATGAATTAGTCTCTCTTAAATAGGATGTGAGTAAAGTTGTATCAGACTTTCTAAACATAAATGTTATCTTGTAAAGCAGTAAATACCCTTAGGAATGAATTTCATTTCAAGATTCAAAATATTCTTCACCTCAGATATGGAACATGTTTTTGCTTTACAGGCAAATGAACTTACTAATGAACTAGACACTAGAGAGAGAATTTCAGTGACTCTTATTTCCCTATGATTAGTCAATGACACAACTTTTTATCTAATTTAGAAATAGATAGCTCTTTGTTTGCACGAGAAAAAAGTAATTTCTGTTTCCTAAGTAAATTCAGTTTACCAATTACTTATTCACAAATTAAATTTACCAATACTAATACAATTTAGTTTATTTATAACAATATTTTAATATAATTATTGCTTTTGAGTGAAAATCCAAATACCAGACACAGAAAGGAAGCTGAGATAGTATATTGTCAGTGTGCAAATGGCAATATTTGTACTGCATGAACATTGCTGAAACCAAAGATTTGCAAAGACATTAATGATGTGGAGTTTCTCCCCTCCTACTTGTAGCAGACAATGTTTGAGTACTGCAGTTTTGGATGCAAGTATCTAAATTCTATCTAAGCCCCCCTTTCAGCACCTAAGTGCTTTCTTGTATATCTAGCTGTAAGGATGAAATTAAACTCAACCTTGTAGGCTCCTAAATAGGACTAAATAGGAAGTGGAATGGTTGAGGCTAAGTCACAATGAGCAGTCTAAACTGACCCTGCTCATTGTCCACAAAAAAATTGCCAAGGTGCCTGCAGTCATTAAGCACTTCTATTTTGGATTGAGAGGATTCCATAGTACCTAGACCTAAGCTACTCTGCATGCAAAGGAATGATCTAGACCAGCCAGTAGACCAGGGGTGGGCAAAATATGGCCTGCAAGCTGGATCCAGCCTGCCAGGCCATTCTATCCGGCCCCCGGAGCCCCTAAAAAATTTAGTAAATTAATATTTATTCACCCCAGCTCCCTGTCAAAGCTGGCTGGAGCCAGGGGCAGCAGGACCCAGAGGGAGCCCTCAGCAGGCTTCCGGCCTTGCGCACCCCTGCCAGTTCCCTGCTTTTCTGCCCCTGCCCTGCTCCAGCACCAACTGGCTGTGGCTCCCGGCTGCATCCCTAGACCGCAGAGCATAGGACCATGCTGATAGGGGTGTGTATGTGTGTGCGCACATGTGGGCAGGCACAGGGGCAGAGTATGTGTGTATCTGCAGGCATGGGGCAGAGTGTGTGTGTGTTCATAGGGTGAGCCCCACATACACCCCCCTCCATACACATGCACCTATACGTCCCCTTGCACTGCCATACACAAACCCCAGCCACCCTCCCCCTATACCCGTGCACACCCCACACACCCACAGCCCCCACAAACCTATACCCACCCCCAACAATATACAAGAATAAGACTTCATTTTAAGCTGTTGTGTAGTCACCTCTGCATACACTACACAAACGCATGTAAATCAGGACAAAAATATTTTTTGAAATCAAATTAATGAATGTTGTAGATGATCACTTTTTAGAATATAATTTGGTATTTTTCTGGTTCTGAGATGGCAAAACCCCTTGCTGAAAGGACTACTTCTGGACGCAAGGAGAGGGACTTCTGGTGGCAAAGGTCAGGGGTTAGGGGGCAGGACTTCTGGTCACAAGATGGTGACCAAGGGGTGGGGCACCTGTCAAGGGGCAGAGCTACCCTTTTGGCCCTTGACAGCTTGCCAAAACTCAGTAAGTGGCCTTCTGCTAAAAAAATAATTGCCCGCCCCTGCAGTAGACTCTTGAAAATCCTATTCTTAATTCCACCGTTTTTCCCATTCTCATGCTTTTAAACTATATTAATAAACTTAAGACATCAACAGATATTCAGTTTTGCACTTCAAGGTTGACTTCTTAGCAACAATGAATTCAGTGGGAGTCTTATGATTCACTTTAGTGGAATCAGGATTTTATTCCAGAACACCGTGCTGCAGGAGGATTTGAGTTTGGGGGTGATATTCACAAAAAGACTAAGCAGCCTGATCCATCACTAACCAGCTAGATACATAAATGGTACTGAAGCCCAATATACATACCTCAGTCAAAAAGAAAATTCAGATCCTACAGGACCCATGGCCACTGTCACTCAAAAATGCACTGGCAGCACTTATATGTCCATAATAACCTTTGTGATTTCACCAATCATTCAGGAAGTGGGACACCTCTGTTCTAGATCTTCTTCAGTGTAAAGGGGATTTAAACTTACATCTTTCATTTCTTAGGAGAGCGACTTAACCACCAGGCTATAGAATAGTGTAGCTGGTGACATTTTTCCACCTGTCCAATTAAAGTTGGTCCACTGGGCAGGGAAGAATGAAAACCAAGCAAGCTACAGCATGGATAACTGTGTAGCTTGGTGAGGAGGGAAGGAGTCATCATTTTGAAAGCAGCATAGTAAAACAATTCTAAAAGTGTGTTTTCAAAAAATTGGAAGTTCCTTTTCTCCTTTCAGTCTTCACCAATTTACTTTTCATTTGTATTTACTTATAGAAAAGCAGTATTTGAAGGTTTGGTGACTAGTGGGAAATGAAATGATGGTTTTAGTCCAGTTACTTCTGGACAGGTACCCATTGGTAACTGGTGCTGAGTGACAGTTTTCCTGGAAGACATAATAAACTACCTACTCTGCCCTGTTTACAAAGCAATGCAAGATCATGTTTTCTTCTGCTCTTCTTGTTGTATATTCTTGTTGAATATAAGATGTCTGTCTTCAATACTATCAATATGGCACACTGAACAATAAATTTGTACCCTCCGTGCGTGATGCTCTTTCATGAATGATAAATTTGTCTTATAAACTGGCACCTACATATTTCAGAGATAGGCATAGTACATGTGCACATGTGCTTAAGGCAGTTTAAATTATAGAGAGACTACAGGGACAACAACACTAAGGGTTTGATATATTTACCATAGGAGACCATTTGTAAGCTGAGTGCAGTATTGATTAGATAAATCAGATAGGATTTGGGACAGCAAAATTGCTTCTGAATTCAGTTTCATTCATGGCAGTGTAACATGCTATAGAAATGAAGCAAATAGATCAACTTGTTTTGTACTGTGTCAAAAAAATTTCAAAGCTTTGGAGTTTTAGCTCAGAAAGGCAGTAGCCCATAGACTTGTTCCCCATTGAAACACTAAACAAAGCTAACCGTGATAAAGAGAACTAAATGAAAAAATTCTAATATTTCATTACAAAGTCTTTTTAAAGTTTATGCAAAATATTTGTTGAAATGTCAAGATATTTTGAATGAGCTCTTGTAAGATCTTGTCAGAGGTGATGGGATATTCACATTTTTTACCTATGGAAGATGCAAGTCAAAAGATAAAGTCTTGACTAAAGCTCTGATCCTGAAGAAGAACTTAGGAGAACTCAGCACCTATATGGAGCCTCACTGATGGGATTTTTTATTTCTTACCTTCCAGGTTTTCCAGGGAAATTTTGACAATGACACACACAGAAAGAATGTGATTGACCCTCCAATCTATGCACGGCACATAAGGATTCTCCCTTGGTCATGGTATGGTAGGATCACTTTACGGTCAGAGCTGTTGGGCTGCACAGAAGAGAACTGAAAAGGATCTTCGTTGACAACACACCTCCATATTCTTAAAAGTATCTCCGTAGAAGAAACTGTGCAAAACCTGTATGAAGTTGAATGGGTTTTTTCATGAACAAGTGCTCACTTTATGGTAGGCCGCTAACTGTCTTTTGTAAGGAGGTCTAAGCCTGCCCTTTAAATGATCCAATCCAATTTTGTCCTTTAAATCCGTTACAGTATTGTCCCTTTTGCTGTGGAATTACCTTTCTAGTTTTCTTCTAAGTTGTTCACGCTGGTTGAAATGTGTTAGGAAAGAACAGCAGCATCCATTTTACAAGGAAGGAGAATCAGCATGACAAAGCTCATTTGCAGCTTTAGAAAAATTGGGCTGACACACTTTGCAAATCACACTCATCTTACTTGTAAAAAGTACTGCAGCTTTTAGCAATAAGTTTTCTCTGGGATGACTGCATTATGTTGTTTCCCTTGTGCCTATCAAACACCGTCAATATTTCTGACACATTTTGAAGATACTCTGTGGTGCAAAGCACTTGTGATATTACACATCATCTTTCATTATATTTATTTAAACTGCAGAGTTCTTGCAAATAAGAATCACTTCCACCCAGTTTTACTTTGTTCTTACTTTGTTATGCATGTGATGGCCATAGCTTCTGTTTTCTATATTTAATCTCATTGTTAACAAAGTTTTCTTTAAAAGAGGTGTCCTATTTGTATATGGAACAAAATCTGCTATCAGTATATTATGAAGTTAATGACTGTGTCAAATCAAACTGTATGAATTTAGTTTGCAACTATATTTGTCACAGAGGCTGATCATACACACTGTAAATCCAGTTTGACTTAAATTCTTTTTGAGTGGTTACAGGCACATCTTTATGCTGCAAAAACAGCATTAATATGACCACATATTCAGCCTTGCCCAGAAGTGGACATACAGTCCTCACAGACCTGCCCACAAGATTACTTTTGCCTGATGCCTTCATAGTCTCCAGGAGGGAAGGTGCATGTGGGGTCAGATAGTAGGTGCTAAAGCATATAAATTACACCCTCCAACCCCAGACACACACATCCCAATAGGCCCCATCTGTGTTGCAGGCCATAAAGTTCCAACAGAAGGTGAACTCAACAGGAGCCAAAGTGTGCAAATGCAGGCCCCTTAAGATCCTGCCTTGATTATAACTTTTTAGGTACGTATCTATTGAGCAATATGAGGCTTGAATTTGGCCCTGTTTCTTGACTTGTAGACTATTAACAGATTAACTTCCTTTTTAGCCCCTCCAAACACACTACCTTGTTTTAACAACATACAAACCAGATAGTATCAATTCTAAGGCAGGAATATAAGGGCAAAAGTGATTAATAGCTTCATTCCTGC